TGTGACCTACGCGCAGTTGAACCTCTTGGCCATTAGACAACAGACAAGTGCACCCCCATCCTCCCCATCACAGGAGCCCTCAGAAGAGCCAAGTGTATATGCTGCTCTAGCCATCCACTAGCTCAGGAGGGACCCAGACCCCACACTCCAGGCAGGCTGCCCCCAGTGACACTTGGCTAGTGCCTCACCCACTGTGGAGACCTGAGGTGCCCCTGGGACTCTTGAGGATTCACATTATTCTATAGTCAAAGATAAGCCAATGTCTCTACATTTGGAAATCAAGGCAACAGACTTCTCAAGAATCAATGTGTGAACAAAAACAAGTGAATGTTTTAACTGGAATTGTAATGTAAATATGACATATCAAACCTATGAAATAATAAAATTAAGAACCTTAAAAAATCTATGGCCTAATCTATCATGTCAAGAATTTAGAAAAACGAAACAAAACATTGCATTGAATCTTTAGATCCATAGACAACTAGATGATAAAGATGTGGCGTGTATGCACACTGGAATATAAACCAGCCATAAACAGAATGAAATCCTGCCATTTTGGACCTGAGTGAAATAATTCAGACAAGGAAAGATGTCACTTACCTCTGGGATTTTTCACATCCTCAAAGCAAAAGACACAAAAGCAGATCCATAGAAATAAATAACAAACTGATGGTTGCCAGATGGGAGGGAAGGAAGTATGGGTGGGAAGGGGAAGGGAAGATAGTCAATAATAAATATCATATCCATGTTGTACACCTGAAACTAATATGACATTGTATGCCAACTATGCTTTAATAAAAACGGTCAATTAAAAATGATTATTTAAACAATAGAAATTTTTTCTAAATGAAGTCGTATGGAGAAAATGATACAGCTTTGCATAGCAAAGAAAACCATCAATAAAATGAAAAGACAACCTACCGAAAGGAGAACTATTTGCCAATACACCTGATAAGGGCTGATTGTCCAACATTTATAAGGAACTTATAAAGCTCAACACCAAAACCCCCCAAATAATTCAATAAAAAAATAGGCAGAGGACCTAGATAGGCACTTCTCCAAAGAGGGCACACCAACGGCCAGTAGATATATGAACAGATGCTCAACATCACTAATCATCAGAGAGAGACACAAATCCAAACCACACACCTTTCAGAATGGCTATCATCAATAAATCCACAAATATCTATGCCCCTCTATGATCACAGCAGCCTTATTTACAAAAGCCAAGATCTGAAAACAGCCCAAGTGCCCACCAGAAGATGAAAGTTGTGGTATATTTACACAATGGAATATTGTGCAGCTGTAAAATAAAGAAGAAACTCTTACCTTTGGTGACAGCATGGATGGTCCTGGAGAGCATTATCTGAAGTGAAATAAGCCAGACAGAGAAAGACAAATTCCCTATGATTTCACTCATATTTGGAATCTAACAAACAAAATAAAACATAGTGGAGAGGGACTCATGTATACAGAGAAGAGATTGACAGCTGTCAGAGGAGAGGGGTTGTGGGCTGGGGAGAAGGGTGAATGGATTAAGCAAAGAAATAAAAGACTCATGGACACAGACAATACTATGGTGACTGCCAGAGGGAAGGGTGGGGGGTGGATAAAAATGGGGTAAGTGGTGTGGAAATAGACTAGACTTAGGGTAATAAGCACACAATACCATATACAGATGATGTAGTGTAGAATCATATACCTGAAACCTGCATAATTTTATTAAGCAATGTCACCCCAGTAAATAAAAAATCCAATAAAAAACAAATACATGTAGGCTGTTCGGAAATGTGGTTCCACTCAGACCCTCAGCACCTGCTATTTTTAGAGTGAGAAGGTGTCGCCTTCCTGTGAGGCAAGCACCTTGTGGACAGTGCGCGGGTGGTGGTGTGAGGACCCTGTCCCCACATCCTGTGTCCTGCTCTGCTTGGCTCAGCCCTGCCTCCGCTTCCTCAGAAGCACCCTGGTCCCCAATCCTCAGTCTCCAGAAGGCCAGGTCAACAGGAGCTGAATATGGACTTAGTGTTTCTGAATTTCTGCTCCTCGACTGCTTCTGAGGTGACAACACAAGACGTGTCACTCTCCTGGGATTTTTATGCCTTAGTGACTTACATTGAAGTCTTTTATCCATTTTCAGTGTACTCTTGTGTATGGTGTAAGCGGGTGGTAAGTTTCCTTCCCTCCTTCCCTCCTTCTTTCCTTCCTTCCTTCCTTCCTTCCTTCCTTCCTTCCTTCCTTCCTTCCTTTCTTTTTTTTTGCATGTACCTGTCCAATTTTCTCAGCACCATTTATTGCGAGCCTACCCTCACTCCGCTGTATAGTCACAAAGTCACTAATCATCAGGGAAATGCAAGTGCTGGATGTGGAGAAGAGGGAGCCCTTGTGCAAAGCTACTGGGAATGCAGACGGGTGCAGCCATTGTGGAAAGCAGTAAGGAGGTTCCTCAAAAAGTAAAAAAAATGGAACTGCCATTCAACCCAGTGATTCCACTTCTGGGGATATCATCAAAGAAACCTGAAAAGCTCATTCAAAAGAATATATGCATCCCCTATGTTCATTGTTGCATTATTTACAACAGCCAAGATGTGGAAGTAGCCACGTGAGCATCAGTAGATGAGTGGATTAAATAGCTGTGGTAGGTTTACACGATGGAGTACTACTCGGCTGTGAGAAACAAGAAAATCCTACCTTCTGCCACGGCGTGGATGGACCTGCCGGTTTGTATGCTAAGTGAAATAAGCCAGAGTAAGACTGGCTTCACATAAAATCACTTAAATGTGGAATCTAAACAACAAAATCATTAAATATATTTAACGAGTGGCCCAGTGCATGAAATTCATGCACATTAAAAGGGGGAATTAATTAGAGGAAATATTTTAATATTGCTATTTGCCCATTCTCTATAATAGAAGTGTCCAAGATGAAAGAAAATTAGTAAAATGTATATGAAAGTCCCCCTCCTGTCAGAGTCTGGGGTGTGCTACAGGACCCAGAGTCAAGTACCCCCCCCCACCCACACGTGCCTAGAAATCACGGGAGACCCAGACCTGGCCAGCCCCACTCCCGTCAATCCCCGCTGGGAGGGGGCCCAGCCTCAGGTCCCCCGGCCGAGCCTCAGGTCACCTGGCCCTGGCATGAGGGCGCAAGGGCGTGAGGGCGTGATGACCATTGGCATATTAGCTCTTTATTATATAGGACTTTTATTGTTGACTCTGTTATAGATGTCCCCCATTTCTCCCATTTGCTCACTGCCACCCACCCCACCTTCCCCTCCCTTGGCCCTCACTACTCTTTTGTCTGTGTTCTTGGGCTGTGCATATATGTTCTTAGGTGAATCACTTCACATTCTGCATCAAGCCCCCCCACACTGCCCCACTCTCCTCTCCTTGGACATCTGTCACTCTGTCAATCTGTTTCTCTTCCTGTCTTGGTATGTCTCCCATAATGTCGTCATGAGCATTCTTATTTTCTTTCTATACTAGAGGCCCAGTGCACGGATTCATGCACATGTGGGATCCCTCAGCCTGGCCTGCACCCTCTCCCAATCCAGGACCCCTCAGGGGATGTCAGACTGCCGGTTTGGCCCAATCCCTGCAGGCCAGGCTGAGAGATGGAACCGAAACCGGCAGTCTGACACCCCCTGAGGGATGTAGTAGTGCGCAAAGCAGCAGGTGGGCGAGGAGGAGCCCAAACCTGGGCTGGGTGCCACGCCACTCATGCTCATCCTGGCCAGCCCTGCAGCGCCTGCCGCCACCATTCAGTAGTGCAGCCGCAGAGGTGGGAGAGGCTTGGGGCACTGCAGCTGTGCTCACCAGCAGTGAGCCCGGGTCTGGCTCACTAGGTCAGCTGGACGGTGCTCCAGCTGTGAGAGCACACTGACCACTAGAGGGCAGCTCCTGCATTTAGTGTCTGCCCCCTGGTGGTCTGTGTGCAAACGATCAACCAGTTATTTGGTCACTTAGGCTTTTATATATATAGATAGCCTTCTCCTTCAAGATAATACTGTATCGTTTGTAATATTATTGACGTTATTACAGATGATCTTCATCTCTGCCTATATCCCTCCTCCACGCAGCACAGACCCCACCGCAGTCCTTCTGCACACTAATATCTATGGCTTTGAGCTATGCATATATGCAGGAGAGTTCTTTAGTTAATCTTTTTCTGCCCCCCTCCCTTCCCTGAGATCTGTCCAGTTGTTCCATGCAGCATGCCTCTGGACTTATTTTTTTTATCAAGTTATATTGTTCAATAGAGTCCACATATAAGTGAAATCCTGCAATATTTGTCTTTCTCTGACTGGCTTATTTCACTCGGCATAATACTCTCCAGGTCCCTCCACGATGTCTCAAAAGGTAAGAGATCCTTCTATTATTATACCTGCATAGTATTCCATAGTATAAATGTACCACAGCTGTTTTATCCACTCACGCCCAGCTGGGCACCTGGGCTGTTTCTAGGTCTTAGCTGTTGTAAATTGTGCTGCTATGAACACAGGGGAGCATACCTTCTTTCTGACTGATGTGTCGGGTTCTGAGGATGTATTTCCACCAGTGGGATCAGGTGGCTACATTGGCAGTTCCATTTTTGAGCATCCTGTTACCAACTGAGGAATAAATGACTAACACCTCTGCTATAAAAATGTCCAGTGTGAGTTGAGACTGTTTCCTGATGGAACAGCACCAACCTGACACTGCAAAGTCCACTCAAAGTTGTCGTCACAGAATCCAAAGGCCAGACCAACAAAGGAAATGATCGGTGCAATGCCGGGGAGGAATCAGGCACCTGCCCCCCAAGAGCCTTCTCTCCTATTGAGACCTCAGTTTGGGGAAACTCAGAGCCAGGCCCAGGGCGGGAGAGTCCGCAGGCAGTGGGTTCACAGCTTGCGGACCCGGAAGGGCTGCAACAGCTTCTGACCCACCACTTCCTGTGCGTCTCTGTTTTTCCGACCCTAAGCCTCCTCCATTTGCACAGCAGGAGCCCTGAGCCCAGACGCCAAGATGTCCATCCTCTCTGCTCTTCTCTGCCTCGGTCAGTTGTGGACACAGGGAGGGGCAGCAGGAGGGGTGGCGGCACCCCCTTGTTCATGGGGAACCTCAGGCTTTGGCAGCTCAAGTGGACGGGGCCCTGATGGGAGGGGAATCAGCTCAGACGTGCAGGTGCCAATCTCTCACAGACACTCTCTTCCAGGGCTGAGTCTGGACCAGAGGACCCCAGTGCAGGCAGGTGAGTCCTCCCCAGGCTCCAGGTCCCACCTGTTACTTCACCCCTGGGGCTCAGGAGGGAGCACAGAGGTGCTGGGCTGAGCTGGGGGATGAGGGTGGGGAAGGGCTTTGTAATGCAGCTTCTGGTTTCCTTCCAGGGACCCTCCCCAAACCCACCCTCTGGGCTGAACCAGGAGATCTCATCCCTTATGGGAGCCCTGTGACCCTCTGGTGTGAGGGGACCCTGGAGGCCTGGAAGTTTGATCTGTACAAGGAGGGAAAACATGTGCTTTGGAGCACACAGACTGAAAGGAAGTCCACAACCAAGGGCAAGTTCTCCATCACACACATCACAGAGCACGATGCAGGGAGATACTCCTGTTCTTCTAACAGCCCCACTGGCTGGTCAGAGCCCAGTAACCCCCTGGAGCTGGTGGTGACAAGTGAGAGGACACTCAGGGGTCCCAGCCTAAGGCTTTGCCCTCAGGAAGAGCGTCTGCTCTCCGGGTGTCTCCTTCTCAGAACCCAGCCCTGAAGGACATGAGGGAAGAGTGAACCTATTTAACAAGTTGCCTCCCCCTCTCCTAGGATCCTACAGCAAACCCAGCCTCTCAGCCATGCCCAGCCCTGTGGTGACCTCAGGAGGGAACGTGACCCTCCACTGTGGCTCACAGCAGGGATTTGATAGGTTCATTCTGACTAAGGAAGGAGATCACAGGCTCTCCTGGACCCAGGACTCAGAACCACACCCCAGTGGCCGGTCCCAGGCCATGTTCCGTGTGGGCCCCGTGACCCCCAGCCACAGGTGGAGGTTCAGATGCTATGGCTGTTACAGGAACAGCCCCCAGGTGTGGTCACACCCAAGTGATGCCCTGGAGCTCCTGATCCCAGGTGAGTAAGTCCCATCCTGGTCCCCTCCTTGGATCCAGGCATCAAACACTTTGGCATCTTCACTGGGAGGGGAGCCCCTTGTGAAGGGGTGGGGAGGGGGAGCACAAGAGCTCCCGGGGCAGAGACACAGGGAGAGAGAGTGCGACCTGGGGGGCAGGACAGGAGAAGGGGTTATGGGAGGAGCAGCCCCTCTAACTCTTGTCTGGTCTCCCCAGGTGAGTCTGGGAAGCCCTCCCTCCTGAGCCAGCAGGGCCCCATCGTGGCCTCTGGACAGAGCCTGACCCTCCAGTGTCGCTCTGATGTCGGCTATGACAGATTCGCTCTGCACAAGGAGACCAAACAGGGCCTCCCCCACAGCCTTGTCCTGCTGCCCCAGGCTGGGCTCTCGCAGGCCCACTTCCCCCTGGACACTGTGAGCAGCTCCCACGGGGGCCGGTACAGATGCTACGGTGGATACAACCTCTCCTCTGAGTGGTCGGCCCCCAGTGACCCCCTGGACATCATGGTGGCAGGTGAGGACCCAGTGGGTACAATCTCGAGCCAGACTCTTATCAGGCCCTGCTGGGGGTCTCAGGTGATGAGGCCAGAATGACGGTGTGGGGCCCAGGGAGGAAAAGAGATAGAGAGGCAGGGGATGGGAGGAGAGAGGGGTAAACTCAGAGAAACAGACAGACAGTGAGGAGGGTCCTCAGAGAAAGGCCTGGTGACTCTCAGGTCAGAACAAGGTGGGCAGGCAGCCCTCACCCTCCCTCCCTCTCTCTAGGACACCTGCCTGACACACCCTCCCTCTTGGTGCAGCCAGGCCCCAGGGTGGCCTCAGGAGAGAACGTGACCCTGCTGTGTCAGTCCCAAAGCTGGAGGGACACTTTCCTTCTGTCCAAGGAGGGGGCAGCTGGTCCCCCCTTGCGTATGGGATCAAAGTACCGAGCTCAGCAGTACGAGGCAGAGTTCTCCATGAGTCCTGTGACCTCAGCCCACACGGGCACCTACAGGTGCTACAGTTCATCCACCATCTCTCCCTACCATCTGTCACACCCCAGTGAGCCCCTGGAACTCCTGGTCTCAGGTGAGGGGCCCAAACCCTATCGGCTGAGCTGTCAGCTCAGGGTCCTGTCCCCAGAAATATTATGGGCTGTAAGGGAGTTTGGGGCTCTCAGGATGGTCACCCCAAGGAGATCTTTTCCTTAGAGGCCCTCCCACCCCGTCCACCCCCGTCCCCTCACCTGGATACTGAGGTAGTGGGAGGGCCTCAGGGGCCACAGCACAGATGTAAGAGGGTGTCTGTGTGAAATGGGGTCCAGGATCAGCCCAAGCCTCTCACCCTCTTCCTGTCCTCATTTCCAGGACCCTCTGGAGGCCCCAGCCCCCCACCCACCTCCACAGCTGGTGAGTCCCGGGAGCTCTGCTCAGAGGGAGCACAGCCCACCCAGCAAGTCCTGAGAGTCTGTCAGGGGATCAAGTCACCCAGATCCTCAAGGACGGGCCTGTGTCCCAGAGGGGCTGGGAGTCCCAGGGTCTGATTCAGGTGATGGGTGGAGTGGTCATGGCAGAGGACGATGTCAGGGCGCAGGCTGGGGAAGTGAACGTGGTCCCATGTGGGGAGAAGGCAGCCCCCACCCTCCTGCCCCATCCTCATCCACAGGAGGCTCTGGGGATCGGTCTCCCACCCACAGGGTCAGGCATACAGATGGGTAAATGAGGGGCTCTGTGGGGAGGTGGTGGGTTCCTCCATGGGGGAAAGGGGATGAGCCATGCGGTGGTCCAGGCCCTTCTGGATTTGCTGACTTGGACTCACCCTTCCCCTGTCTGCGCCTCAGTGTCTCCCAGTGTAAAAGGAGAGAATCCTTGTCCAGAGCTTAGATTTCCTGTCAGTTCTGGCCCTGACCTCCTGGGAGAGGGGCCTCACAGGGAAGCCCCCAGGACCTGATGTTATGGGGCCTGTCCCCTCTGTCTCAGTGACGGTGACACTGTACAGGGAGGGTCAGACAGGACAAGGGTCCGGGCACCCAGTCCTCCCCTCAGCTCAGGCTCAGCTCAGAGGAGGGAACAGGGTGGATCAGCCCTGGCTCAGCTCCTGGCTCTGCTGCTCCTGCTGTGGGGCTGGGCGGCCCCTTCTCTCCTCTGAGTGTCGGGTTCCTGTCTGCTCATCCCTGGTCCCATCCTGCTCACAGGCTGCTGGGAGATGAGTTGACATAAGGGCCTCACAGAGCTCAGGAGGACAGAGCCCCCAGCCCAGCCCGACCTTCCTAGGGGACAGTCAGAGACCTGTAGGTGGAGAGGGATGCAGGCGAGACTCAGAATCCACCCCAAACCCTGCCTATCCCTGTCCCTGCTGTGCTGGGGACGGTAATGAGGAAGGACCCTCAGCTCCAAATGAGACATGGACAGGATCCTGCAGAGGAGGACTCCAGAGCACAAAGCAGTGTCCACTTGGGATGTGGGCATGGGGTGTGAGGCCAGCACAGGTAACCCACAGTCCCAGGTTCCAGTCCCTGCCCAGCCCCATCCAGGCTGGGTGACCTCTCTGAGGTGATTAACCTCTCTGAGCCTCATTGAAGGGGGTGGTGGGGTCAGCAATGCCTGGTGCATGACCGCTGTGAGGTGAGAGGAAATAAATGGCAGTCCCAGCATGTGCCTCTCACACAGTAGGTTCTCATTAAATGGCATCATTGGCTCATTCATGAAGTCACTATTGTCCTAGATCCCAAATGGTACTGGATAGGGGTCTTGGTGGCTTTGTTCCAGCTGCTCTCCCTTCTTCTCTTCCTCCTCCTCCGACATCAGCGTCAGAGCAAAGGCAGGACCTCAGGTGAGTAGGGAAGGGGGTGACCTGGGTCACAGGAGGGGGGCTCAGACACCTGCTACTGGAAACCAAATAGATGGAGAAGGTCAGCTGAGAAAAGGATTTCTCCAGAATCTCAAATCAGAAATCCTAGGAAAAATACACTCACTGTCAGCACAGATGGACAGAGGTAAGGTCATCTTTCATCCTTTTCAGCCTCATGAATAGGAATCATTCTCACAAGCACTTTTCCCGAATCTATTGATAAGGTCATGTGATTTTTATCCTTCATTTTGTTTATGTGGTGTATCACGTTTATTGATTCGAGAATATTGAACCATCCTTGCATCTCCAGAGAAAGTCCTCCTTGGTCACGGTGTGTGATCTTTTTAATCTATTGCTGGATCTGGCAACATGAGGATAAGTGACAGGAGGATTTCAACAGTGAAATCAAGGAGACGCTGTTCTGTCCCACTGTCTCTCTCCAGCAGAGCAGGCAGAATGATGGCCCTCAGGGAGTCTGTACGCCCAGGTGAACTGCTCACCACCAAGACTCAGGCAGGGAATGACCACCTCTCTTCCTTTCCTATCAGGGGAATTTTTGGACATGAAGGACAGACAAGCAGAAGAGGACAGACAGATGGACAGTCAGGTGAGTCCCATCCTCCCCAGGCCCCAAGGCTCTCAAACCCCAACCATGTTTCATCCCTCTCTCTCCCCCTGCTCCAGGCTGCTGCATCTGATGCCCCCCAGGATGTGCCCTATGCACAGCTGAACCTATTGGCCCATAGACAACAGAAAAGTTCACTCCCATTCTCCCCATCAAAGGATCCCTCAGAAGAGCCCAGTGTGTACGCTGCTCTAGCCATCCACTAGCTCAGGATGGACTCAGACCACCACACTCCAGGGAGGGGTATGCAGGGACCCCAGTAGGCAGGAAAGATACACCTCTGGACACTTGGCTAGTGCCCCACCAACCGTGGAGACCTGAGGTGCCCCTGGGACTCTCAGGGAGTCACCTCATTCTGTAGTCAAAGATGAGCCAATATCTCTACATTTGGAAATCAAAATAATAGACTTCCCAATAATCAATGTGTGAACAAAGTGAATGTTTTAACTGGAATTGTAATGTAAATATGACACATCAAACCTATGAAATAATAAAATTAAGAACCTTAAAAAATCAATGGGCTAATCTATTATGTCTAGGATTTAGAAAAACAAAACATTGTGTTGATACTTTAGATCCATAGACATCTAGATGATAAAGATGTGGCTAGTATGCATTATCTATAATAATAAAAGCATAATATGCAAATTAGACTGGACAGCAGAACGACCTTCCCAACATCAATCTGGATGAAGCCGCAGTGGCAGGGGCCGAGGCAGAGGCTGTTAGGGGTGATCAGGCAGGCAGAGCGGTTAGGGGTGATCAAACAGGCAGGCAGGCTAGTGGTTAGGAGCCAGTGGTCCTGGATTGTGAGAAGGTGCAGGCCATGCTGAGGAACCACCACCCCCCTGCCCCAATGCACGAACTTCATGCATTGGGCCTGTATTGAAATATAAACCAACCAAAAATAGAATGAAATACTGCCATTTGGGACAACATGGATGGACTTAGAGGGCATTATGCTGCGTGAAATGTTTCAGACAAGGAAAGATCTAACTTACCTCTGGGATTTTTCACATCCTCAAAGCAAAGGAAACAAAAACAGACCCATAGAAATAAATAACAGACTGATTATTGCCAGATGGGAGGGAAGGAAGGATAGGTCAGAAGGGAAAGGGAAGATAGTCAATAATAAATATCATATCTGTGTTGCACATCTAAAACTAATATGACATTGTATGCCAACTATGGTTTAATAAAAAAGGTCAACTAAAAATGATTAGTTAAGCAATAGCATTTTTTTCTAAATGAAGGTGTAAAGATGAAATGATAAGGCTTTGCATAGCAAAGGAAACCATCAACAAAATGAAAAGACAACCCACCGAATGGAGAACTATTAGCCAATACATCTGATAAGGACTTATTGTCCAACATTTATAAGGAACTTATAAAGCTTAACACCAAAACCCCCAAAACAATTCAATAAAAAATATTTGGCGGAGGACCTAGATAGACACTTCTCCAAAGAGGACAAATCGGCGGCCAGTAGACATATGAACAGATGCTCAACATCACTAATCATCAGAGAGACGCCAATCCAAACCACACACCTTTCAGAATGGCTTATCATCAATAAATCCACAAATATCTATGCCCCTCTATGATCACAGCAGCCTTATTCACAAAAGCCAAGATCTGGAAACAGCCCAAGTGCCCACCAGCAGATGAAAGCTATGGTATATTTACACAATGGAATATTGTGCAGCTGTCAAATAAAGAAGGAACTCTTACCTTTTGCAAGAGCATGAATGGATCTGGAGAGCATGATCTGCAGTGAAATAAGCCAGTTGGAGAAAGACATGTTCCCTATGATTTCACTCATATTTGGAATCTAATAAACAAAATAAAACATAGTGGAGAGAGACTCATGAATACAGAGAACAGACTGACAGCTGTCAGAGGAGAGGGGTTGTGGGCTGGGGGGAAGGGTGAATGGATTAAGCAAAGAAATAAAAGAAAGACTCATGGACACAGACAATACTATGGTGACTGCCAGAGGAAGGGTGCGGGGTGGGTAAAAATGGGGTAAGTTGTGTGGAAATAGACTAGACTTAGGGTAATAAGCACACAATACCATATACAGATGACGTAGTGTAGAATCGTATACCTGAAACCTGCATAATTTTATTAAGCAATGTCACCCCAGTAAATAAAAAATTCAGTAAAAAACAAATACATGTAGGTTGTTTGGAAATGTGGTTCTAGTCAGACCCTCAGCACCTGCTATTTTTAGGGTGAGAAGAAGGTGTCGCCTTCATGTGAGGCAAACACCTAGTGAGGGCCCTGCCCCCACATCCTGTGTCCTTCTCAGCTTGGCTCAGCCCCTGCCTCCTCTTCCTCAGAAGCACCCTGGTCCCCAAGTCCTCAGTCTCCGGAAGTGCAGGTCGAGAGGAGCTGAATATGGACTTAGTGTTTCTGAATTTCTGCTCCTTGCCTGCTTCTGAGGTGACAACACATGATGTGTCACTCTCCTGGGAATTATATGTCTTTGTGACTTACATTGAAGTCTTTTATCCATTTTGAATGTACTCCTGTGTATGGTGTAAGTGGGTGGTATAGATTCTTTCTTTCTTTCTTTCTTTCTTTCTTTCTTTCTTTCTTTCTTTCTTTCTTTCTTTCTCTCTCTCTCTCTCTCTCTCTCTCTCTCTCTCTCTCTCTCTCTCTCTCTCTCTTTCTTTCTTTCTTTTTTGAATTTACCTGTACAATTTTCCCAGCACCATTTTTTGCAGAGCCTGCCTTCACTCCGCTGATAATTCACAAAGTCACTAATCATCTGAGTAAGGCAAGTGCTGGATGTGGAGAAGAGGGAGCCCTCGTGCACCGCTGCTGGGAATGCAGACGGGTGCAGCCTCTGTGGAAAGCAGTATGGAGGTTCCTCAAAAAAAAAATGGAACTGCCATTCAACCCAGTGATTCCAATTCTAGGCATATCATTGAAGAAACCTGAAACGCTCATTTGAAACACTATACACATCCCCTATGTTCACTGTAGCATTATTTACAACAGCCCAGATGTGGAAGCAGCCACGTGCCCATCAATAGATGAGTGGATTAAAAGGCTGTGGTACGTTTACACGATGGAGTACTACTCGGCTGTGAGAAAGAAGGAAGTCCTGTCCTACCTTCTGCCACAGCATGGATGGACCTGCCGGTTTGTATGCTAAGTGAAATAAGCCAGTCAGACACATTTCATATAAATCACTTAAATGTGGAAACTAAACAACAAAATCATTAAATATCTTTAATTTTTAATGTTGACACTGTTACAGATGTCCCCCATTTCTCCCGTTTACCCACCTCCACCCACCCCATTTCCCCCTCCCTTGGCCTCACCACACTGTCTGTGTCCATGGGCTGTGCATGTATGTTCTTTAGTGAACGGCTTCCTATTCTTCACCAAGTCCCCGGCCCCACTCTCCTCCCCTCTGACATCTGTCATTCCTGTCTTGGTATGTCTCCCATAATGTTGCCATTAGCATTCTTATTTTCTTTTTATACTAGAGGCCCAGTGCACAGATTCATGCACTGGTGGAGTTCCTCAGCCTGTCCTGCACCTTATCCCAGACCTGGCTGCGGGATAGGGCCAAAACCCACAGTCTGATGTACCCCAAGGGATGTGGTAGCATGTGAAGTGGCAGGTCACTGAGGAGGAGTCCAAGCCCCAGCCGGGCGCTGTGGCGCTCCGCTCATCCTGGCCAACCCTAAGCGCCTGCCCCCACTCGGTAGTGCTACCACGGAGGTGGGAGAGGCTCGCTCCACTGCAGCTGTGCTCACCAACAGTGAGCCCTGCATCTGGCTCACGTAGGTCAGCTGAACAGAACTCCCGCTGTGGGACTGCATTGACAGCCAGGGGGCAGCCCCTGCATTTAGCATCTGCCCCCTGGTGGTCAGTGTGCATCATAGTGACCAGTTGACCGGTTCACCAGTCATTTGGTCATTTGGTCGCTTAGGCTTTTATACACACACACACACACACACACACACACACACACACACACACACTAGAGGCCTGTTGCATGAAAAGATTCGTGCAATAGGCTTTCCCTTCCCCTGGCTGCTGACACCAGTTTTCCTCTGGCACCTGGGACCCAGACCTTCACTCTGGCCACCGCCTTCCATCTTCACTCTGGACACAGTCTTTGCTGTGGCTGGAGCCTTCAGTCTTTGCTCCTCACTCCAGCGGGAGTCTTCAGTCTCTGGCCAGAGCTGCTCCTGTAGCTCCTTCCACCCCCGACCCTCCCCCTCATAGCTTGATCGCTGCTTCTCCTGCAGACCTCGTGGACTGGCTCCGGGGTACCAGGGGACCGCCTTGCCTCTGGCCTGGCTTTCTGATCATGATCACGGGCAGCAGGCAAAGCGGCTCCGGGGTCCCAGGGGTGCCGCCTTGCCTATGGCCCGGCTTTCCGATAGTGGTCACCAGTTGGGGGCAGGCAAAGGCGGCCCCGGTTCTCCGATCCAGGGGTCGGGCTGCCTTTGCCCTGCCACCCGATTCTCGCCTGCCGCCTGGGTTTCTGATCACCTTTCTTCCATCCCATCATTGCGCCTATGTATGCAAATTAACTGCTGTTTTCTTGGCAGTTAACCGCCATCTTTCTTGGCATTTAATTTGCATGTAGTCCTGATTTAGCCAATTGGAAGTGTAGCGAAGGTACGGTCAATTACCCTTTTTGTCTTTTATTAGATAGGAGATATAGATTGATAGATAGATAGATGGATAGATTATAGATAGATAGATAGATAGATAGATAGATAGATAGAAAGATTGATAGATAGATGATACACATATAGATATAGATATAGATATAGATATAGATATAGATATAGATATACATATACATATACATATACATATACATATACATATACATATACATATACATGTAGATATAGATATAGATAGACTAGAGGCCTGATGCATGAAATTCATGCAAGAGTAGGCCTTCATTCCCCTGTCTGCCAGCACCACCTTCCCTCTGGCACCTGGGACCTGGGCTTGCCTCACAGTCCCGGCTTCGTCTGAAAGGACATCCAGAAGGAAGACCAGTCTAATTAGCATATTGCTCTTTTATTATTATATACATAGCCTTCCCCTTCAAGATAATACTGTATTTTTTGTATTATTATTGACATTATTACAGATGGCCTTCATCTCTTCCTAAATGGCACCTCCCTCCACCCAACACACACCCCACTGCAGGCCTTCTACACACTAATATCTATGGCTTTGAGCTATGCACATATGTAGGTAAGTTCCTCAGTTAATCTTTTTCTGCCGCCCTCCCTTCTCTGAGATCTGTCCAGTTGTTCCATGCAGCATGCCTCTGGACTTATTTTTTTGATCAAGTTACATTGTTCATTAGATGCCACATATAAGTGAAATCAGGGAATATTTGTGTTTCTCTGACTGGCTTATTTCACTTAGCATAATATGCTCCAGGTGGCTCCATGCTGTCTCAAAGGGTAAGGGGTCCTTCTTTTTTCAGAGCTGGATAGTATTCCCTGGTGTAAATGTACCACAGCTTTTTTACCCACCCATCTACAGATGGGCACTGGGGCTATTTCCAGGTCTTAGCTATGAACAATCTTTCTGATTGGTGTTTCGGGTTCTGAGGATATATTTCCACAAGTGGGATCTGCTGGGCCCATCGGCAGTTCCATTTTGAGCTTCAAGTTAACAACTGAGGAATGAAGCACTAAAACCTCTGCTATGGAAACTTCACTGGGAGTTGAGACTGTTTCCTGATGGATGAGCAGCACCAACGTGACACTGCAAAGTCCCTTCAAAATTGTCGTCACGGAATCCAAAGGCCAGACCACATGTGTAGAGTCGCCTGGAACAAAGGAAATGATTCCTGCAGTGCCTGGGAGGGATCAGGCATCTGACCCCCAAGAGCCTTCTCTCCTCCTGAGCACTCAGTTTGGGGAAACTCAGAGCCAGGCCCAGGGCGGGACAGTCCGCAGGCAATGGGTTCACAGCTTGCGGACCCGGAAGGGCTGCAGCAGCTTCTGACCCACCACATCCTGTGCGTCTCTGTTTTTCAAGCCATAAGTCTCCTCCATTTGCACAGCAGGAGCCCTGAGAGCAGACGCCATGATGTCCATCCTCTCTGCTCTTCTCTGCCTCGGTCAGTTGTGGACACGGGGAGGGGCAGCAGGAGGGGTGGTGGCACCCCCTTGTTCATGGGAAACCTCAGGCTCAGGCAGCTCGAGTGGACGGGGCCCTGATGGGAGGAGAATCAGCTCAGATGTCCGGATGCAAATCTCTCAAATTGACTCTTCCAGGGCTGAGTCTGGGCCAGAGGATCCACGTGCAGGCAGGTGAGTCCTCCCCAGGCTCCAGGTCCCACCTGTTACTTCACCCCAGGGGCTCAGGAGGGAGCACAGAGGTCCTGGATGAGCTGGGGGATGAGGGCGGGGAAGGGCTTTGTAACGCAGCTTCTGGTTTCCTTCCAGGGACCCTCCCCAAACCCACCCTGTGGGCTGAACCAGGCCCTGTGATCCCTTATGGGAGCCCTGTGACCCTCTGGTGTGAGGGGACCCTGGAGGCCCAGAAGTTTGATCTCTATAAGGAAGGAAAACGTGTGCTTTGGAACACACAGACTGAAAGGAAGTTCACAACCAAGACCAAGTTCTCCATCACAAACATCACAGAGCATGATGCAGGGAGATACTCCTGTTATTATAACAGCTCCACTGGCAGGTCAGATCCCAGTGACTCCCTGGAGCTGCGGGCAACAGGTGAGAGGACTCTCAGGGGTCCCAGCCTCGGGCTCTGCCCTCAGGAAGGGGGTCTGCTCTCAGGGTGTCTCCATCTCACAGCCGAGCCCTTGGCGACATGAGGGAGGTGTGAGCCCCATTTAATAGGCTGTCTCCTCCTCTCCTAGGCTCCTTCAGCAAACCCAGCCTCTCAGCCCTGCCAAGCCCGGTCGTGACCTCAGGAGGGAACCTTACCCTCCAGTGTGGCTCAAGGGAGGTGTTTGACAGGTTCATTCTGACTAAGGAAGGAAAAGACAGGGTCTCCTGGACCCTGGACTCACAGCCACAGCCCAGTGGGCAGTCCCAGGCCCTGTTCCCTGTGGGTCCTGTGAGTCCCATTCACAGGTGGAGGTTCAGATGCTATGGCTGTTACAGGAACAGCCCCCAGGTGTGGTCATACCCCAGTGATGCCCTGGAGCTCCTGATCCCAGGTAAGTCCCATCCTGCTCCCATCCATGGATTGAGGCACCAGACATATTGGCATCTTCTCTGGGAGGGGAGCCCCATGTGAAGGGGTGCGGAGAGTGTAGCACAGGAGCCCCTGGGCCTGAGACACAGAGAGAGACAGTAAAACCTGGGGGCTAGGCCAGGAGAAGGGGTTATGGGAGGAGCAGCCCCTGTAATTCATGTCTGGTCTCCCCAGGTGAGTCTGGGAAGCCCTCCCTCCTGAGCCAGCAGGCCCCCATCGTGGCCTCTGGACAGAGACTTTCCCTCCAGTGTCGCTCTGATGTCAGCTATGACAGATTCGCTCTGCACAAGGAGGGTGAACCGGACCTCTCCCAGAGCCTTGTCCTGCAGTCCCAGGCTGGGCTCTCTCAGGCCCACTTCCCCCTGGGCACTGTGAGCAGCTCCCACGGGGGCCGGTACAGATGCTACGGTGGATACAACCTCTCCTCTGAGTGGTCGGCCCCCAGTGACCCCCTGGACATCCTGGTGGCAGGTGAGGAGCCCGTGGGTTCAGTCAGGGTCCCTGACTCTGAACAGGCCCTGCTGGGGTCTCAGGTTGTGAGGTCAGAATGAAAATGCAGGCCCCCAGGGAGGGAGAGAAACAGAGAGAGACAGGGGGTGGAAGAAAAGGGGAAACTCAGAGAAACAGAGACAGACAGAGAGGAGGGTCCTCAGAGAGAGCCCTGGTGACTCTCAGGTCACAACAAGGTGAGCAGGCAGCCCTCACCCTCCCTCCCTCTCTCTAGGACACCTGCCTGACAGACCCTCCCTCTCGGTGCAGCCAGGCCCCAGGGTGGCCTCAGGAGAGAACGTGACCCTGCTGTGTCAGTCACAGAGCCCGAGGGACACGTTCCTGCTGTCCAAGGAGGGGGCAGAGGTTCCCCCCCTGTGTCTGAGATCAAAGCACCGAGCTCAGCAATCCCAGGCGGAGTTCTCCATGAGTCCTGTGACCTCAGCCCACGGGGGCACCTACAGGTGCTACAGCTCACACAGCACCTCCCCCTTCCTGCTGTCACTCCCCAGTGAGCCCCAGGAGCTCCTGGTCTCAGGTGAGGGCCCCTGACCCTGTCTGCTGAGCTGCCATCTCAGGGTCCCCTCCCCAGGGGAATTATAGGCTGAAATATTGGTGAGGGGCTCTAGGATGGTCATCCAGAAGTTTTCTCTTCCTTAGAGGCCCTCCCACCCTATACTCTCCCTCCCCCTCACGCGGGTCTGAAGGGGTAGGTGGGCAGTGGGAGTGTCTTCGGAGCCCCAGCACAGATGTAGTAGAAGTCTGAGAGAAGTTCCTACTCCAGGACAGCACCAGCTCCTCACCTTCTTCTTGTCCTTCCCAAGAACCTGTGGGGCCCCAGCCCTCCACCACAGGCCCCAGATGAGGAGCCCAGAGCACAGAGCTGGTGTCCCCCTGGGGGGCAGTGTGAGGACAGCACAGGGAACCCACAGTCCTGGGTCCCAGTCTCAACCCTGCTCCATCCAAGATGGGTGACCTGGGGTATGTGATTGACCTCTCTGAGCCGCATGGAAGTGGGTGGTGGGGTCAGCAATCCCTGGTGCATGACTGCTGTCAGGTGAGAGGAGATGAGGGACAGACCCCAGTATGTGCCTCACACACAGTAGGTGCTCATCAAATGGTATCACTGGCTCATCATGACGTCACTCATGTCCTAGGTCCCAAATGGAACCTGAACATCCTGATCGGGATCTCAGTTACCCTCATCCTGTTACTCTCCCTCCTCCTCTTCCTCCTCCTCCGGCACCAATGTCAGAGCAAAGGCAGGACGTCAGGTGAGTAGGGAAAGGGGTGACCTGGGTCACACAATGGGGTGCTCAGAGCACCTGCCATGGGAAATCAAATGGATGGAGATGGTCATCTGAGAAAAGACTTTTCCAGAATCTGAAATCAGAAAACCTAGAAAGGAAACAATGTCAGACAGTCTCATGAAATATGCACACAAGTGGGTGTTAGGGTTTTGGTTATTTTAATCTTTATTGTTCAGATTATTACAGATGTCCCTCTTTTTCTCCCCCATAGCTCCCTTCCACCCGGTTCCCACCCCACCCCAGCCCCTGCCACCCCACTCTCTGCTTTCATAGGTACTGCATACATACATATAAGATCTTTGTCCCATCTCTTCCCGCACTCCCCCCACAACCCCTTCCTCCCGAGAATTGTCAGTCCACTCCATTTCCATGCCCCTGATTCTATTACATGCACTAGTTTATTCTGTTCATCAGATTTTTTATTCATTTGATTTTTAGATTCACTTGTTTATAGATATGTATTTGTTGTCACTTTGTTGTTCATCACTTTTTATCTTTACCTTTTTCTTCTTTTTCCTCTTCTTAAAGAATACCCTTCAGTATTTTATATAATACTGGTTTGGTGGTGATGAATTCCTTTAGCTTTTTCTTATCTGTGAAGCTCTTTATCTGACCTTCAACTCTAAATGATAGTGTTGCTGGGTAGAGTAATCTTAGTTGTAGGTTCTTGCTATTCATCACTTTGAATATTTCTTGCCACTGCCTTCTGTCCTGCATAGTTTCTGTTGAGAAATCAGCTGACAGTGTGGGTACTCCCTTGTAGGTAACTACTGTTTTTCTCTTGCTGCTTTTAAGATTCTCTCTTTGTCTTTTGCTCTTGGCATTTTAATTATGATATGTCTTCGTGTGGTCCTCTTTGGATTCCTTTTGTTTGGGGTTTTCTGAGCATCCTGGACTTGTAAGTCTATTTCTTTCACCAGGTAGGGGAAGTTTTCTGTCATTATTTCTTCAAATAGGTTTTCAATATCTTGCTCTCTCTCTTCTCCTGTCACCCCATAATTCGGATGTTTGTATGCTTGAAGTTGTCCCAGAGGCTCCTTACACTATCTTCATATTTTTGGATTCTTTTTTCTTTTTCTGTTGGGTGTTTTTTTGCTTCCTTGTATTTCAAATCTTTGACTTGATTCTTGGGATCCTCTACTCTACTGTTACTGTTGAATCTCTGTATATTATTCTTTATTTCAGTCGGTGTATGCTTAATTTCTGACTGGTCCTTTTTTTTTATTTTTTGGCATTCTCACTAAGATCCCTAAGATCCTTGAAGGGCTCACTAAGTTCCTCAGAGGTGTCTAGAAGATTCTTGAGTAACCTTATAACTGTGGTTTATCCAGTAGTTTGCTTTCTCCCATTTCTTTCATTTGTCACACGTTTCTTTGTCTCTGCATTTTGGTTGCTTCCCTGTGTTTGTTTCTGTGTATTGGGTAGCTGCTAAGTCTCCTTGAGTTGATAGAGTGGTCTTGTGTAGTAGGTGTCCTATAGGGCCCAGTGATTCAGCCTCCTCACTCACCTGAGGTAGACACTCTTGGTGCACCCTTTTGTGGGCTATGTACAGTCTTGTTATATTTGAGCCTTGATTGCTGTTGGCATCACTGGGATGAATTGAAATCCAGGCCAATGGAAGTGCTTCTGTGCAGCAGATACCCTTATGGGGCAGGACTTGCTTCAGTGGAGCTTTGGTCCTCCCTGAGTCTGACCCTTGGGTGTGTCACTTATGGATGTGAAGAGTTGTAACCTGGTATGATCTCACACTGAGCACTGGGTACACTGGCTCTTGGATCTCCAAGGAGATGCAAAGTCAGCCACTGCCTGTGGCCGCCCAGCAGGAGCTACAGAGAGATCTGCAGATTCCTCCTCTTTGTGTGGAATTTGGAAGTGCCCAGATGAGGCCCAGCTGTGAAGCAAGGCAGGTTGCTGTGGTGCTGGCCTTTGCCTTCTTTTGATAGCTTTGGGGCTTCCTGACCCAACTGCAGTTTGACAGGTTTTAGGCAGAGAAAGGACCAGTCATTCATATGCAAAAGCCACTGCATACAGCTTGGGTGGGGTTGTAAATTGGATAGGGTGGTGTCTCAGGGAATCTCCAGGGTAGAGCAAACAGCAATGGCTGCCAGTCAGCTCTGCACTGGAGAGGTCCCAGCTCAGGAACAATGACCATTTCGAACACCTCCGTCTGGAAGAAAGCCACCCCCGTGTTCCTGCCCTGATGCCAGACAGTCCAGTTTCTCCCTGTATGTGTCTGGGTCCCCCAAAGTCTCGCCCAGTACTGGAGCTCAGAACAAGTGGGAGCTTGTATTTCCCTCCCAAATAAAAAAAGCGGCATACCTAGGTGCTAGCCCAATCTGTGCCTCTGTACCTCCTACCAATCTCAATGCACTTTCTTCTTTACCTCTCTAGTTGTAGTACTTCCACTCAGCTAGCTTTCCTGCAGTTCTGAATGATAGTTTTTCTGTATTTTAGTTCTAATTTTTCTATGGTTGTGAGAGGCAGCAAATACAGGTATTTACCTATGCTGCCATCTTGGCTGACTTGAGTGTTAAGGTTTTATTCTTTCCTGTGGAATCACATGGGGAGTGGCTCCTAACCTCCCAGTGCTGAGACTGTCCCTCTTGACCGGCCCAGAGAGGGGCTCATGTCCAACCTCCTGCAAGGGCCACAGACCCAGAGCCCAAGGACAGAGGCCTGCAGATCATGTAACTCCTACCCCAAAGACCTGAAACATCCACCATCTATGGCCCATCTCTGACCCTAAAACTCATGTCTTCTCCTCCAGTTGAAGCCCAGCTTTGGACAGCCAAGAAGAGACTCTTTGTGAGAGGAAGAGACAGCTGCCCTGGAGGAGTGGGCACAGGGATTTCAGGAGGCAATGGGGAAGGTTAGGCTGGGAGGGTGTGGGGTCAGAGTGAGAAGAACTGAGATGCACACTGCCTGACCTGATGCCTCACCTCACCCCTGAGTTAGTGGTCCATCTGGGAGCAGGCAGGGCCTGCAGTGCTGAGAACTTGGGGACCTACCAGGAGACACCTCCCCATTCTGCCCCAGCAGATGCCGTCATGAAGGACCCACAGCCTGGGGAGAGCATGGAGCTGGACCCTCAGGTGAGAACCCTGCTCCTGTTCAGGCCACAAGGACATTCTGTCACCCAGTTTAATTCAATGGTTCGTTCCCTATCTCCACCTCTCCTTGTTCTCAGCGGTGTCCACACTGACCTCTCCTTCTGGGCCCCCAGGTCGTCCTGCTGAGCCTCACTCCTCCTGGTTTCCTTGTGGCCTCATGGCCCTTTCTCCCAGGCCTCCTTTGTTGGCCCCTAATTCTTTGTCTGACCTTGTGAATCCCCAGGTCTCAGGAGGAGGCAGAAATAAGTGAATTACCCATAGGTCACCAAGATCCCTTTCATTCATTCATCCAGAAAATGTGAAAGGGGCTCACTGTTTACGGCTGCTTTTAGGGGCCATTGTGCAGCCCTGAGCTACACTGTCTCCACACTCCTTGAGCTCCCCTGTGGGTGAGGGAGACAATATGCAAACAAGCAGACAGTGTCCCAGAGAGCATAGCGCTGTGAAGGAACATAAAGTAAGAGGAGGAGATAGAGTGCATGGTGGGGGGACAGGGAAAAGAACAGGTGCTGAGGCAGGACATGCTTCTAGGAGGATGGGCCATGAAGCTGGAGCCAAATGAGCAAGAGAGAGCACGTTAGGATAAGAGTCAGAACCATAGAAGCATCCAGAGGCTCCAGGTCTTAGGAAGGCCCAGCAGATTCCATCAGGAGAGGGAGCTAATCTGTTTAAAGATTAAGTCATCTCTCTCTCAACATGTGCTTGAAGTCTTGAGGATTTCATCAGTGGAATCGAGAAGACACTGTTCTGTCTCACTGTCTCCAGCAGAACAGGCAGGATGAAGACCCCCAGGGAGTGACGTACGCCCAGGTGAACTGCTCAACATCAAGACCCAGGCAGGGAATGGCCACCTCTCCTTCCTCCCTATCAGGGGGATTACTGGATAAGAAGGGCAGACAAGCAGAAGAGGACAGACAGATGGACAGTCAGGTGGGTCCTATCCTCTCCATACCCCAAGGCTTCCCCAACTCTAACCATTTCCTCCTACTCACTCTCCCCTTGCTCCAGGCTGTCACCTACGCCCAGCTGAACCACTTGACCCTCAGACAGAAGACATGTGCACCCCCTTCCTCCCTGTCAGAGGAGCCCCCAGATGAGCCCAGTGTGTATGCTATTCT